TCATTTCTGCATCTAGCTGGCACAGTGCCCCGGCCCCACATGACGCTTCCAACCAATCAGATTGCATATTCCCCTTCAGTTCCAGTTCCACTTCTGTTTTTCCAACTGTCTTTTTGGCTAGATTTACAGATTTTTCACCCCTAGATTTATTTCTCCAAAGAAGGGCCAAAAGTAGCAACTCGGTTTACGGAGTATTGCTTTATCGCAGTTTATAGAGCGAGAAGTTTTTCTCCTTCTCTCTGTTGAGTGACAAAGGAGCAGCGGAGAGCTTTTGTTTTTTTCACTCATGCGTTGAGACGAGCGAACATGACGAGAGCTTCGGGATAGCAATGGATAGCAGGTACCGGACCCGCGCTCCACTCAGTAATTCATACTTGTTCTATCGTCCGACAGCAGAAACAAAAATATGTGAATGATAAAAATGTCATGAATTCGATTCTATCAAAATACTAAGTATGTGCTCAGAGGACAGAGCCTCAGCTGTTCATACTGTTTTTAGCTAGCTACACAGACCGCAGCCAGGAGGCAGTGAGAACTGAAGACTGGCATGGTCATTTGAACGAAGTTGTTAACGTAATTAAATTGAATTCAACACGGCTAAATTAATAACTAGAATGATTTTAAGTGGTAACTATATATTTATCATAGTAATGTTACGTACAGTCCAGACTAAAAAGGTAGCAAACAACTAGAAGTACTTATCTCTGAGGTAGAAAAAAAAAATTTTCAGGTCCAATATGTCTATGGTGTTAGCGGGAGATATTAGCCTAGTCATCTACCCTGAATCTTGTTTCTGGATGACTGGACTAACCTAAAATGACCAATACTGGAACAACAAAATGCAGTTGAACATCCAACTATGCGAAATAAGCAGTAAAGTGTAATGTGGTGTGTACAGTAAGTATAATACATAGAATATGAAAGATATAAAAGAGCTAAGGTTTGAAAAGCAGGCCTAATTTATTGAATAAACAGTCAATATAAACAGTAACAATCTTTCAAAATATGTCTTTGTGTCCTTTATAGGCAGGAGTGAGTGATGTCAGGAAGACGGTGCAGATTCAAAACTTTTCAAAACAGGCTTTTTGTTAGCCCCAAGACTATCTGCCTGTGTGTTGGGGTTTACCCCGGTGGACGAGAGGGTAGCTTCCCTGTGCCTTCGGGTCGGGGAACGGGTCCTGACTGTAGTTTGCGCTTATGGGCTAAATATGAGTTCAGAGTACCCACCCTTTTTGGAGTCCCTGGGATGAGTGCTAGATAGTGCTCCATCAGGGGACCCCATTGTCCTGCTGGGGGACTTCAATGCCCACGTGGGCAATGACAGCATGACCTGGAGGGGTGTGATTGGGAGGAACGGCCCGCCTGATCTGAACTCGAGTGGTTTTTCATTATTGGACTTCTGTGCAAGCCGCAGTTTGGCCATAATGAACACCATGTTTGAACATAAGGATGCCCATCAGTACACTTGGTACCAGGGTAGCCTAGGTCGCAGGTCGATGATAGACTTTGTAGTTGTATCATCTGACCTACGGCCGTATGTTTTGGACACCCAAGTGAAGAGAGGAGCAGAGCTGTCAACTGATCACCACCTGGTGGTTAGTTGAATCAGATGGCAGGGGAAGATGCAGCGTAGACCTGGCAGACCCAAACGCATAGTGAGGGTCTGCTGGGAACGCCTGGCAGAAGAACCTGTCAAGACGGTCTTCAACTCCCACCTCCGGCAGAGCTTTGACCGCGTCCCGAGAGCAGTGGGGGACATTGACTCCAAGCGGGCCTTGTTCCACTCTGCGATTGTTGAGGCGGCTGTTGCTAGCTGTGGTCGCAAGGTGGCCGGTGCCAGTCGTGGTGGCAACCCCTGCACCCGCTGGTGGACACCAGAGGTTCGGGGAGCTGTCAGGCTGAAGAAGGAGGCCTACAAGGTGTGGCTGGTCTGTGGGTCTCCGGAGGCAGCAGACAGGTACCGGATATCCAAGCGGGGTGCAGCAGTGGCAGTTGCCAGGGCAACATCTCGGGCGTGGGAAGAGTTTGGTGAGGCCATGGAGAAAGACTATCGATCGGCTTCAAAGAGGTTCTGGCAAACTGTCCGGCGCCTCAGGAGAGGAAGGCAGCAACTCACTCACACTGTTTACAGTGGGGATGGGGAGCTGCTGACGTCAACTGGGGCTATCGTCGGACGGTGGAAGGAATACTTTGAGGAGCTCCTCAATCCCACCTATGCGCATTCCGAGGAGGAACCAGAGCCAGGAGACCTGAGGATGCACTGTCCAATCTCGGGGGCAGAAGTTTCTGAGGTAGTCAAACAACTACACAGCGGCAGAGCCCCAGGGGTGGATGAGATTCGTCCTGGGTATCTCAAGGCTATGGATGTTGTAGGGCTGTCGTGGTTGACACGTCTCTGCAACATTGCGTGGTCATTGGGGGCAGTTCCTGTGGAGTGGCAGACTAGGGTGGTGGTCCCCATCTTTTAGAAGGGTGTCCAGAGGGTGTGTTCCAACTATAGGGGGATCACACTCCTCAGCCTCCCTGGAAAAATACTGGAGAGGAGGGTTCGATCGATAGTTGAATCTCAGATTGAGGAGGAGCAATGTGGTTTTCGTCCTGGCCGTGGAACTGCGGACCAGCTCTATACTCTTGCAAGGGGGATGAGGGGGGCATGGGAGTTTGCCCAACTAATCCACGTGTTTTGTGGATTTGGAGAAGGCTTATGACCGTGTCCCCAGGGGCACTCTGTGGGGGACGCTCCATGAGTATGGGGTGGGTGGCTTTCTGTCAAGGACCATTCAGTCCCTTTACCAGAGCAGCGTGAGTTTGGTCCGCATAGCTGTTAGTAAGTCGGACCTGTTCCCGGTGAGGGTTGGACTCTGCCAGGGCTGCTCTTTGTCACCGGTTCTGTTCATTACCTTTATGGACAGAATTTCTAGGCGCAGCCGTGGTGTGGAGTGTGTCGAGTTTGATGGCAGGAGAATATTTTCTTAGCTTTTTGCGGATGATGTGGTCCTCCTAGCTTCATCCAGCTCTGACCTTCAGCTCTTGCTGGGTAGGTTCGCGGCTGAGAGTGACGCGGCTGGGATGAGGATCAGCACCTCCAAATCTGAGACCATGGTTCTCGACCAGAAAAGGGTGGCTTGCCAACTCCGGGTTGGGAGAGAGGTCCTACCTCAAGTAGAGGAGTTTAAGTATCTCAGGGTCTTGTTCACAAGTGAGGGTAGGAGGGATCGGGAGATCGACAGGCGGATTGGTTCGGCGACTGCAGTGCTGCGGACGTTGAGCCGATCTGTCGTGGTGAAGAGGGAGCTGAGCCAGAAAGCCAGGCCCTCGATTTACCGGTCGATCTACGTCCCAATCCTCACCTATGGTCATGAGCTTTGGGTAATGACCGAAAGAACGAGATCGCGGATACAAGCGGCCAAAATGACTTTCCTCCGTAGGGTGGCCGGGCTCAGCCTTAGAGATAGGGTGAGGAGCTCGGACATTCGGGAGGGACTCGGAGTAGAACCGCTGCTCCTCCGGATCGAAAGGAGTCAGTTGAGGTGGTTTGGGCATCTGGTCAGGATGACTCCTGGACGCCTCCCTGGGGAGGTGTTTCGGGCATGTCCTGCCAGCAGGAGGCCCCCGGGTCGACCCAGGACACGTTGGAGAGGTTGCATCTCCAATCTGGTTCGGGAACGCCTTGGGGTCCTGGTAGAGGTGGCCGGGGAGAGGACGGTCTGGAGCTCCCTAGTTGAGATGCTGCCTCTGCGACCCAGACCTGGATAAGCGGAGGAAGACGACGACGATTTCAGTCAGCACAGTGAATTAACCTGGTTCAGTTGCTGAGCAGAACAAAAACATGACATGGAGATGACTTGATGATGCCACAATGTCACACCTATGGTATGAACTAAAGTAGAGAATAACTTCTGTTTTAGTTGTGCTGCATTGTAAGTAGAAGAAAGTAGATGGGATTGTGAAAGACAAAAATCTTTCCACAACTATATTGTCAAAATAACGATGTAGGTAGGTACAATATCATATCTGTTTCTAAATATATCGGGATATCGGCAAACAGTAGTTATGATAACTTGACTTGTACACTGAAAAAGTCTTGAAATTGTCCTGGAAAAGTCCTGGAAAATAATTTCAAGAAAAGAGTGGGAACCCTGAATAATAATAAAAAGGATGGTGATATTTATGTTTATTTGAAAAAAATATAAAAGATTTACATGGGAGTCAACAAAACGCACCAACACCACTAATGTTACAAAAGTATTTAACTGTTCTGTTGAATTTAGTACAGCATAAATCCCCTCAAAACACACAACCTCCCAATAAATTAGAAAAACTGCATTAGCATAGCCGACATTATTCACAAACACAGCTGTCTGCACAAGAAAATGCACGAATGATATAAAAGGGCACAGCAGATATCGGTACTGGTTTATATTGTTTTCTGAATTTAAGAGTCAGAGAATATCGGATGTCGGTAAAAAGGGCAATATGGAGCACGCCTAATTTTAAGCTTTAATAACATTTCAAATTGAAATTGTGTGACTTTGCAAAAGCATGCATGAGAGAAAAAATATATTCTTTTTACAGTTTCAATGCAAAGATTATTCAAACATGATATATGATGCATTCATCATTTAATTTGTCAGCCAAAGGGACAAAAGATGCTTCTAACATTACATCAGAGGCTTCCTGAGATGGTGACTTGAGGGGAAGCAACACTTTTCTGAGTGTGTGAAGTGACAGGATACCAAAGGACAGCTCGGCCCTCTGGAATTACAAACCTTTAACCTGTCCTTCTCCCTCTGCTCCTCCTCTGTGTTGGCACAGCTGACGAACTCTTGGCTTCTCGCTCTGCTCTAAAAAGGAAGCTCGTGATTCGGGTTGAGAAAATCAGGTGTGGTGTGAAGAAACGCCTTCATAAAACCAAGATATTAAAGTGTTACAGGAACTTCAGCACAGGCTGAATTTATCGCACCTCAAAACTTATTTGAGATGTTTTCATAAATCTGTCTTTATTGTGGCTCTTGTCTCTCCTCCTCTTCCCACACAAACTCCAAACTGCAGTCCTTCATCTTGGAGTTAAACACGCTGTCAAAATACTGATTCTGCTGCTTTGTGAACATGTTTCTCCAGTCTCCAATTTTACCTGCAACATAAACGGGAAAGACAGCATGCAGACAAAAAAAAAGGATTAACTTAAAAGACAAATGTGGGATTTCCCAACACAAGATAAGGACTTATGTAAAGTTTAAACATAAAAACTCATTTTACATTTTTGTAAAAATTGGCTCGACTTAAAGGTGTGGGACACTCATTTATTGAATGTGTTTGCAGTGGTCTCAAAAGCTCTCTGTCAGACGGAGAGAGAACCAGGACCATGGTGCCAATCAAAATCCATGCTGCTGCGACCCTTATAGGAAGAGACGTGCTCCCCGAAACTCTCTAAAGCCGGGCGGACACTGTGCGACTTTTTCACTCGTAGCACTCAGCTTCAGCTCAAACTGTACGACTTCCTCGCAGGGCAGATCTCACGAGTCATGCGCTCACACTGTACGTCCCAGTTTTCGGATGCGACCTGACTGCTCACACTGTGTGTCTGGTAGCAACACGTCGGCCCTAAAAATATGCTAAAAATAGCAGTTTTTACTCAACACGTCAGACTTTTTGGTCTTGTTTTGCCTGTTGTCCTTCGGGAGTGCTGCAGGAGGACACACAGGGATTGATGGGGGTTGGATGAGGAAAACGAAATAAAGTAAATCTGTGTTTTGTGATCAGTTTAATTTGACATGAACACGACAAACACGCTTTCTTGACAATCTTTGTGAGTAAAAAAAACGTGTAGAAACAAAAACGAACAGCGTGTGTTATTAGGGAAATAGCGAGCGAGCGGTATTGATGCAGGATTGCGCATGTGCAGTGAGTGGTTCTGATACATTTTGGGTCACAGCTGCTCGCAGCGCCGCTTCAACAGTGCGATACCCTCACGAGGGACGAGCAAAATATTAAACACACCAGAATTCCGTGCGAGCTCACGATTGCTGATCGGTAGCTGGTCACGTGGTGTTAATCGCCTCTCGTAACCCCCTGTACACTACACGCCGCGCGGCGCAAAACTCGCCCCGATCTCGTGGATTCTCGCACGAGTGGAAAATCGGCTCAAAAAAGTGAAAATTCGCACAGTGTACGCCCGGCTCAAGAAACCACTTCAATGATCCATCTTTGTTTCTGTAATTCTTCTAAGCTTTTGACCTCCAGGTGAAACCGCTAGAACATTCCATCCAGACATCCAAACATTTTCAGCCGCTTATCAGCACGGACAAGTCTGCTGCAGCAGAGGGCGGGATTTCCTGATATTTGGAGATCTCACCTCTGATTCTCTGCAACGCTGATGTTTTATCTCCACAAACACACGCCTGGAGGAGCGTCTGCTGTGTGGTGGAGTTGCTAATGCCAATGGTTAGCGTCTGCTAGCCAAGGCATTCTCTTTCCTGGATGCTAAACCAACAACAGCCTTCCCCGCCGTGACTCAAGATGGATGAGTCCATGGAGGATAAGTGACAGTGTGACGTAGATCTGTCCGGCTGTTTTCTACCAGAAGCTAATGCAGGAGATGGTCTTCTATACCTATTTGCATGTTCAGCCTGCATGAAAAGCGCAGAGTGGCTGATTATAATCAGAAAATAAATCATTTAAATATGTCTTCTCAGTGTCTCAAACCTTTAAATAATAATTTAAACACGATTTGTAGTTGCCACGTCTTTTATAAAAGCAGAACTGGTGTTTAGTGAGAAAAGTCTGTGAAGTGAACCTTTCCTCATGAAGGAGCCTTTGCTGTGATTCACTATCTCATCAGGAACCAGGCTGTAGTTGCACATCTTGTTGTCCTTCATGCTGCTGAAGCTGCAGTGTTGCACACAGCTGTTGCGCTCATCCTCCAGCAGAGGACGCTGCAGGAAAGAACTCACCCTGTCCACGGTTCCAGGCAGGTCCTGACATGAAGAGAAGAGCAGAAACTCAACAAGAATCCTCAGGACTACGTAACTAACAAGGTGCCAAAATCAAATATTTACCATCGACATCTCCTCAAAGGTGACGTGGAGCAGATTCAGAGCTGCTTCCTGACCCATCCAGCCATTAATGTGCTCAAACCAGGAGCCATAGTGCTCTGAGGATAACATGAGTTCAAATAAAAACTGAATTTAATCGTTTTTGTGATGTCTAGAAGCAAAATTATGAATAAATCAAGTGCAAATAATAGATAAAAGGCTCTGTCGGCTCACGTTCGCCTTCCAGGAACTGATTTAAAAACTCAGAGAATGAACCAGGCTCAGGAAGGAAATTGGTGAATTGGTGGAAGTGGTAAAAGGAGACCACCACGTCTTTGGGGTTTCTGCTGACATAGATGACCTGTGGGACAACAAGGAGCAGCAGTGATTATTTAGAGCATCTGAGCCACTGATGCATTTACTAAAAACTGGACAGCCAAAGCAGTGAAACAAAGGGCTTCACCACTTATGGAAGTTAAGAAGCTAATCTGACCTTGGTCTTGGAGCCCTGGAGGGCGGGGCCCAGCAGGTGAGAAGGCAGGTGCGTGGTGAGGACTCGAGGCGTGGAGGGTGAGGCATTTAACATTTCTGCTAAATAAATGTGCTCCAACCAGGGAGCTCGGGTCCAGTTTGGAACCGTCTGGGACAAGTGGGGGTCGCCTCGGCTTGAAATAAGACCAACTATTTCCTGCATCCACGTGGTGCCTGTTGACACAAACCAAAAAGTTTCATTATTTTGCTGAACTGTAAAAATGTAACCCCATCTGTAGCCGGTTAGCATGCAAACGATAACTGAAAAAACTTGGGAATTTATAATTTTGCACATTATGTAGAGAAGAGAATTGCATTGCAGCCCTCCTTCACATGTCTGTCATTGTGCTGATCTATTGTTAGGACTTTTGATGTGTTTGTTCCCAGAAGGTTTGAGGTCAATCATGATTCAACAGACCAGACACCATCAAACACGAGCAGCTAAGATCTCATAAAACCAGCATTCCTTGTTGTCGTCTCCCCCTACCTGACTTTGGAAAGGACACAATGAGCACATCCGTGTCTTGAAACTGAAATTTTACAGCGAGTTGTAAAGAATCCTGTGTGTGCAAGTGTCCTGGATACAAAATACCGTGGAACATCTCTGTGGCATCCAGCCTGGCCATGTCTAGTTGGTGCTCCTGATCTCTCCTCTGATCGGTGAGAAAAGCCGAGAAAACTATACGTATCAAATTTACACAGATGAGGGCGTGAACAGACCTCCTCAGTGGGGCGTTAGTCATCGTGAATGTCCCTCGCATGCATGAACCTGAGTACTAACTTCATCTCTCATTTAGGACGTTCGGATCAAAACCACCTTATTGGTTTAATATTCCATTCAGTTAAATAGTTTATTTATAAAACCTCAACAATAATCATCTTAAGGCACTTATGCATAAATGCATTTAGCCCGAAGCTGTGATTGCTGAGTGGCACCTACCGAATTAGTAAATGAGCCTTGTGGTGAAATCATTGATGATGAAGTCAAAGGTGTGTGACCAGGCCAGGCCAGGCTAGGCTAGGCAGCTTCATTCATATTGAATATTTCACACACAAAAGAAATTCAACGTGCTGTCCAGGAGCAAGAACATCAAACATTAAAATCTACGTGACAACATCATGTTTGTCTCCACAGCGTTGTTCAGCTGGAGCATAACTGCGTTTTCAATAGTTGTCCCAATGAAAGGGAGATTCATCACTACTCTATCACTAGCCTTTATCTTTGCTTAGCCATCCGACCATCCATCCGTTTTCATCCGCTTATCCGGAGTCGGTTCGCGGGGGCAGCAGCCTAAGTCGAGAGGCCCAGACTTCCCTGTCCCGAGCCATTTGGGCAAGCTCCTCCGGGGGAATCCCAAGGAGTTCCCTGGCCAGGTGAGAGACACAGTCCCTCCACCGTGTCCTGGGTCTACCTTTAGGCCTCCTCCCAGTTGGACATGCCTGGAAAACGTCACCAGGGAGGCATCCAGACCAGATGCCCGAGCCATCTCAACTGGCTCCTCTCAATGTGGAGGAGCAGCGAATCTACTCCGAGCCCCTCCCGGATGACCGTGCATCTCACCCTATGTCTAAGGGAGAGCCCAGCCTCCAGGAGAAGAAAACTAATTTTGGCCACTTGTATCCACGATTTTGTTTTTTCTGTCACTACCCAAAGCTTAGACAGACCGGTATGACACCCACATCACTGCAGATGCAGCACCAGTCTGCCTATCGACCTCACGCTCCAGTTTTCCCTCACTCGTGAACAAGACCCCGAGATACTTAAGCTCCTCCACTTGGGGCAGGACCTCATCCCTGACCCAGAGAAGGCATTCTATCCTTTTCTGAATCTTTGCTAAGCATCCCAGTTTTATACACTTGGTTACTCATTTTAAACACGGAGAGATGTTGTTGGCTTAATTTTGTATTTAGCTAAAAATTACCTGAGGCATGGACCAAAGGGTAAAACTGGATCTGTCATTTTTTAATCCCATAATTAAACAAACAGATGCACTCTTTCATGTTAAGGTTTAGTTTTGGACTGCAAGCCTTCAAGCTTTATTTTTTAAGTTTGGTAAATGCGATTTTTGACCACCTCAAAGCAGTCAGCAAGGCTATGAACGTGATTATGGCCTCTGGTAGCTCCTCCTCCTCTTCCAAGAATTCTGAAGCTGACTGAACCTCAGAGGCAGTGGCGGCTCCAGAAATCTTTTTCTGCAGGTGCTATGAAGGAGCTAGTCTTTTTATTGAGGGTGCTATGAAGGAAGTGGACAATCATTAATATACATCATAAACATGTGAACAATCGCTGACTTTTCCATGAAATCATAAACACATACAGCCACACAGAAAACCATCTATAGTGTTGCAAGGTTAGCTAACGTTAGTGTTAGCATTTCCAGCGGCAAAACCCTCGACTGCTGCGGCGGTTGAGGGTTGACTCTCTTCATCCAGATCCGTAGCTTTTTGTGGGTCTGAGATCACTTCCAAAGACTCATTCGTTTCTGACTGAACCCGTGGAAATGTGGGCAACAAAAAACGATCCATTTTACCACTTTCACTCGTTCACAGGTGGAAAATGAGGTCAAAGGTTAAAATCGGTTTCCTGTTTTGGTTTAAGTTTTTACTATCTATGTGATAATTATTGTTTTGTATGTTAAATATTATCACATCCACACGTTAAATTACAATTAAATTGTAAAAAAAAAAAATCTAATATTTACTTGGGGGTGCAATGACTAATCCAGGGGTGGCTATAGCGCCCCCTAGGCGCCACCACTGCTCAGAGGTAGAAACAAACCAGTTGAACCAGTGCAGCCCAGATCTGCTGCAAATGGTCGCATGCATAATCGTCTTCAGCCTCTAGTCCACCTGAGAAAGACTTTCACAACCGGACATTTTCTAAATGATTCATAAGAATAACAAATAATATTTGCTATACATTTATTTCAATCCTGTGTACTTTCAAAAGACCAACTTGTGCAAAGTTTACAGCAGTTTTGGGACAAGCTGAGGTACTCCAGCAGGTTGCATGGTCTTGATCCCACTGAGAGGTTGCACCTGTGAGTGAAGGGTTAAGAAACTGTCTCCAGCTGAGAGACGGGAACAGAAATGGCTGTTTCTCTGAGGGAAATGACAGGTAGCGGTTAAATCAGGCCAGTGGGTTTTCCTCTTGGACATTTGAGCTGCAGTGGTTCCTCCAGATGATAAGTTACTTCAGAGGCTTGACTGTGTAACGTCCAAAAGTATATTGACCAACATTATAACCTTTCGTCTACAGAAACAAATCCACTTTCTGTTTGGCCTTCCAAACCCAGAAGGTTCTGCTCAGTGCGTGTTGACATACAAGAAAGACAACGGAACAGAAAAGGTCTCCAGCACTCCGCATGAAAGCCAGACGTCAACCTTCTTCACTCTGAGTAAGAGAAGACGCCATGATTTTACAACTCATAAGCTTACAATGTGATGAATGAACAAAATGGTAAGATGAAAAGTTTGAACAATCTGTGCTTAAACCAACAATGGCTTTAAAATGAATATTGTTCTTACAATGATCCTTTTATATCACAAATCAGTGTGTGTTTGATTTAACACGTTAACCATTGTTTACACCGTTTACACTCATACACTCACATAAGGTTAAAGATTCTCACTCACAGCGGTACGATTCTTGTATCTGAGGAGGGCGTGGCTTTCTGAGGGATGTTGGTAAACACACAGAAACGTGTCAAGTTCTGATGTTGTTGCAGAATTTAATGTAAATGTAATTTTACATTTATTAACATCTGCACAATAAATACTTTGAATTAACTTTATTTAGGTGTCTGGCTTTAACACTGAGAGGTGCAGAGTTAAGATTTAACACTTAAATTCAGAGTTGAAAACTGATTCAGTTTTAGGAATTTTGTGCATCAACTGATGTATTTAGTGACCGTTTAGCATGAAAATGAGGTGGAAAATGTCCAGATGTCGGTCATGGATATCAGCCCATAAAAATCGGCAGTACACATCGAGGATCGGCTGACCATGTCTCTGTAGTTTTAGTGGTTGAAGGTTACAATCGGCGAGGCAAGGCAGCTTTATTTATACAGCACATTTCATAGACGGAGGCAATTCATTGTGCTTTCCATCAGCAAAAAAAAAAAAGCAGGAACATTAAAATCAACATGAACAGCAGAACAGAAAATACATTAAAAATGAAAAAGAAACTAAGTTAAAGGGTGAGCAGTTACAGCGCAGAAGGGACAGCGCAAGAACTGATGAAAACATGAAGGTTTTCTATTTAGATTTTTACGTTTCTAGACTTGGGACACATCTGAGGTCACAAGGAAGCTAATGCCACCTGTGTGCAGCATAGTAGCTAAAAGTAGCGTCACCCTGTTTGGTTCTGACCCGAGGTTCTACCAGCTGACCGCTTCCTAAGGTTCTCAGAGCCCTGCTTGGTGTATATAAAGGAAGGAGATCCGACACGTATTCTGGCCCCATGCCTTTGGGTGATTTATGAACTAGCAGAAGCACTTTGAAATGGATTCTGTAGTTTACTGGTAGCCAGTGTATGGATTTAAGAACAGGAGTGATGTGCTCAGTTCTCTTGGTTCTTGTTAGGACTCTAGCAGCTGGTAGGTTATTGCCTTTGTGTGTTTACCTGTAATCATATTTTTCTTTTCTTTTTTCTCTGTCTGTGCTGCTGTAGCAAGTCCCCACTGTGGGATCAATAACGTCAACACATTCTCACACCCAAGCAGGGGCGGATTTAGGACTGAAGAAGATCCGGGGCTTAACACACGCGCGCGCGCACGCGCACACACGTGACACGCACTAGTCAACATCATATATGTCTTGTACCACATAATGTTTAATCTGAAGCTACATATTAAGCATTTTCAGGGCAGAGTATTGTTCCTGTTCGTGTTTAGTGTGAGATGATAGTAAATATTCCCTTTCTTTCTCCAACCACTTTACCTGATAGTAAGCTAACTTTAGGCAAAGCAGCAGCACAACAAATATTTTCAAATAAGACTCACAAACCTGAGTCAACACCAGTCTCATCAAAGCTGGGGTTCTGTTGTTGTACTTTTGGTCTAAAAAACGTCCTTATGTCCATCTTCACTCATGCGTTTCAGACAGAGAGTGTAGAAGATGCCAGCTGCTGAAGGGCTTCTTCTTCAGTGGTGGAGGCTCAGGCAGGCTGTATACAAACTACTGCCAGCTGCGCCCTCTCTGTTGGACTTTGGTACTGCATGTTACTTCCGCGATTTAGATCCGGGGCTTTTCATGAAACATCCGGGGCTTCAGCCCAAGTAGCCGGGCCTAACGCCGCCCCTGCACCCAAGGCGTCAAAATATGACGCTTGTGTCCAAGCCTCAATATATGAAGAATCGGGACGCCCCAGCACGTCAGGAGACAACGATCAGGGACACGCTGGGCCGCGTGGCTTCGTTGGCGTCACTGTTTGACGCGCGCGGTTGCACGGACATTATGCGACTATTTAACCTTTCCCTCACCCCAATCCTAACCTTAAGGTCCATAAACTGTGACCTTAAGGTTAGGATTGGGGTGAGGGGAAGGTTAAGTAGTTCACAAGTAATTCTAATGTTCGTCTCACCACAGGCGTCGGATACCGACGCTTTGGGACGCTGCGTCAGCTGTTTGTCCCTGATCGTCGTCTCCTGATGCGCTGGGGCATCCCGAATCGTCATATATTGAGGCTTGGACACACGCGTCATATTTTGACGCCTTGGGTGTGAGAATGTGTTGATAAAGTCTCGTCTCGTCTCTTCTCTTCTCTTCTCTTCTCTTCTCTTCTCTTCTCTTCTATTCTATTCTATTCTATTCTATTCTATTCTATTCCATTCATTCTATTCTATATTTTGGAATCGGTAACATGTGAATTAATTTTTAATTTAGAGTCCAGAATAACCCCCAAATATTTGAACTCTGATACTTCGCTGATTTCCTGTTTATCCATGTTTACACTGAAGTGTTTCTGCGCCTTTCTCTTCAAAGAAAAACACATAGAGAATGTTTTTGTGTAATTTAAGGTTAGGCAGTTGTCCTGCAACCACTGGGATAATCCAGCTAACTGCTTATTTAATGATTGTACAGCCTGATTAGGAGTGTCAGCAGTTACATGAACAAACCTCTAATCCAAACCCATTCAGGTCTTTTTCATTCTGAATTAAAGGTGCGTTATAACTCCTTCGTCTCTGAACTAATTATGCTGAATTCTCTTTCATGTTTTCCAGATTAATCAGCGGGATTTTTACTAACCTAAAACTTTTGCTTTTTGAGGGTTTTGTGTTTGTTTAAGATCACAATTATGAAAACACTTTTACCACCAGATTTGCGATGTAACTTTAGGTTTAACCATGCCCAACACTACCAGAAGGAGCATTTGTACAGCAATTTACAACCTAATTATACATTAACCCAACAAAGCAGTAAAGTTTTCCTCTAAGCTGCTCTTGGCTCAGCTGGAGCTCTGAAGCCTGAGGACAAAGACGGAGAAATACGCTCATCGTTTTAGAAAACTGGATGAATATCAGCAGATATTTAAATCTGGATTATCTGAATTTGAAGAGATGCTGGCTGAGTTTGTCGTTTTATGTTTGTGGTTCGGTTCTTGTGCCGTCACCGAGGCTGAGGATGCCAGCATGACCCGAGCTCTGAAGCTGATGTCTGAGACGCCGCTCATCGACGGGCAAGTTAAATTTACTTTTCCTTTCTAGACCTGCTCCTGCAGCTTTCATTAACAATAACAGCGGTAAACATTTTTTATCACAAAGTAAAAACCGATAATATTCTGTTACGGCTCCAATTTATTGCTTTTGAATCTGTTTTAATCAAACGTCTTCAGATTGTAATATTTATGACTTTATCTAGTCACAACGACCTACCTTGGCAGCTTAGAGGGCAATTCAACAATCAAATCAAAGAAGTGGACCTACACACACTGTCAACAACACACACCAACATCCGAAAGATCAAGCAGGGACGACTTGGAGCACAGGTAAGTCACAGTTCTGCACCCTGCAATCACAGTCGCCATGCTTTTTGTCTGCTGCTGCTCTAAAAGCTGCAGAGATGTTTTCTGCCTGGTTGGCTGGAGAACTGATTATTAGCTTTTTACTTCACAGTGTCTGTCTGTGCACAACAAGACGTTTTAATCTAACAATGCTTTCACAGCAGAAATAATCAGACAGTCCAGCTCTCTTGTTGTCTCCCGTTAATAGATGTGTGCTTATTTGATCCACTGCTGCAGTTTTCTTCAAAACTGTGAAACTTCTAATTAAACACTCGTTACTGCATTTAAAAAAGCTGAAAGACAAACTGGAGGTGTTGTTGCTCCCAACAGAACGTCTGACCAATCTTTGCTAGAAAACAGATCTCAACATGAAAAATCAGTTTTAATTTACTTTATTTCATTTCAATGTGGTTTAGTTTGAGAAACATAGGAGTCATCTTCACACATACACTCCCTGGCCAATTAAGAAAATGTCACCACCTGGATTTAACTCAGCAAACAGGTGGGAGCCTCCTATTGGATAATTGCTGCCTGGGTGATTATCTTTCAGCTGCAACAAGTTATTCAACCCAACTGGTGCAATGAGTCGCTTTTCATTTCCTAAACAAACATGTGGAAAGACACATCTGGTGGTTGTGGTAAAGATGTTAGTCTGTGTGAGGAGGGTCAGATCATTGGTGCATCAAGCAGAGAAAGCATCTAAGGAGATGCAGAAACGACTAAATCTGGGTTAAGAACTGTCCAATGCATTATAAAAACTGGTCTGGTCCAGATGAACCCTGCTCCAGAGTGATGTCATGTGTCTATGCCTATGTATGCAGGTCTGATCTCAGAATTGTGCGTACTGAAACTCTAATTTCCCTCTGGAATTAATAAAGTACCTTTGAATTGAATTTGAATTGAACGGTGCATCAGGGTAAGAAGAGAGGCAGAGGAAGTGATGCACCCATCATGCCTAGTGCCTACTGTAAAAGCCTGTGGTGGCAGTGCTATGATCTGGGCTTGCTGCAATTTTTCAGGTCTAGGTTCAGCAACAGGATGTGCTCCAAGGATTAGGTCAGCTGACTACCTGACTATACTGAAGGACCAGGTTATTCCCTCTTCCCTAATGGCACGGCCATATTCCAAGAATACAATGTCAGGATTCTCAAATAGTGAAAGAGTGGTTCAGGGAGCACGAGACATCATTTTCACACATGGATTGGCCACCACAGAGTCCAGCCCTTAACCCCGTTGAGAATCTTTGGGATGTGCTGGAGAAGGCTTTGTGCAGTGGTCAGACTACCATCATCTATGCAAGATCTTGGTGAAACATTAATGCAACACTGGATGGAAATAAATCTGATGACATTGCAGAAGCTTACTGAAGCAACGCCACAGTGAATGTGTTACTCAAATCCAGTAAATCACATATAAGAAACGTAGAAAAGTTGCAGAGAGAACTTTTCCTTTCTTCAGGAATCTTCTACACACACCAATGAGATTTTCTTAAAGGCAAGCAGGATGCGCCAAACCCGGATTAGGTTTTGAGAATCATTGACGATGGTGGATAAGACCAGAAAGGTTAGAGTAGACTGAGGTACTCCGAGTAAAAGCACATGAGTAGAAGTCTCAGGTTAGCTTGTATTTTGACTGGATGAATTAGACTTTTAGTGTTTTTGATTGGTCCAACCAAGTTGGAAAAGAGTAGAATGCCTTCTCCAGGTCAGAGTTGAGGTCCTGCCCCAAGTGGAGGAGTTTAAGTATCTTGAGGTCTTGCTCACGAGTGAGGGAAAGATGGAGCGTGAGATTGATTGGTGGATTGGTGCTGCGTCTGCAGCGATGTGGGCATTGTACCGGTCTGTCGTGGTGAAGAGAGAGCTGAGCCGGATGTAAAAAGTTCTCGATTTACCGGTCGATCTCCGTTCCTACCCTCACCTGTGGTCATGAGCTTTGGGTAGTGGCTGAAAGAACGAGAGTGCTGATACAGACGGCCAAAATGAGTTTTCTCAGCGGGGTGGCCCGGCTCTCCCTTAAAGAAGCTCGGTCGGCAGAGTTAACCCGTTGCTCCTCCCCATCAAGACGAGCCAGTTGAGGTGGCTCGGGCATCTGGTTAGGATGCCTCCCTGATGAGGTTTTCCAATCGCATCCATCCAGGAGAAGACCTAAGGAAGACACAGGACACACTGGAGGGACTATGTCTCTCGGCTGGCCAGGGAACACCTTAGGATTCCCCCAGAGGAGCTGGCCCAAGTGGCTGTGGAGAGGGAAGTCTGGGCCTCCCTGCTTAGGCTGCTGCCCCCACGTCCCGACCCAGGATAAGCGGAAGAAAATAGATAAATGGCTGAATGGATGATTGATTCAACGAACCAGATTTTTAGATGATGCCGAGTCAAAGTTTAGGCTCTGCAATCTTACAATACCATCAAACGTTTGAAATAAGGCAGCTGAACTGGTGTTTTGTGTCTGCTTGGTTTGTTTCGACCGTTCCAGAGCTTCGTTCTTTGTCTTCTTCTCAGTTCTGGTCAGCTTATGTACCTTGTCAAACCCAGTACAAGGATGCGGTGAGACAGACACTGGAGCAGATAGACGTCATCCACAGGATGTGTGAGAAATACACAGAAACCTTCATGTTCGCCACCAGCAGCCAGGGTGAGATGTGTGTGTGTGTGTGTGTGTGTGTGTGTGTGTGTGTGTGTGTGTGTGTGTGTGTGTGTGTGTCTTCTCACTCATCAGCTGTTAAACCTGCACAGACATCCTCGACGCCTTCAGGTTGAATAAGACGGCCAGTCTGATCGGGGTGGAGGGCGGTCACTCCATTGACAGCAGCCTGGGCGTCCTGCGCACCATGTACCAGCTGGGCGTCCGCTACCTCACACTCACACATTCCTGCAACACTCCCTGGTAAGGAGCCACTTCATTAGAGAGCAGTTCTCATCGAGGTTCGGTTACATCCATGTGGTGCATAAAGAGATGAGTTTGGGTTTCACTGCGGGAAGTTTCGGGGATTTCTGCCCGTCGCACCAGAAGATCGGATTCTAGTTGGATTAACTGGTAACCAGCTGGACAAAAGCAGAATGTGAACAAAACTACAGTTAAACAGGTTTTCTATACAAACATTCCCCGTTGACTGGTATAGGTGGCAAATTGTGTTTTTATTCCACAGATTTTAGTTTGAAACTGAAAATTGTTGCGATCCAGCCGCAATGAGAGCAAAACACATAAAACCTTTTCACACTGAAGACTCAAAGCTTGTTCAGATTGTTGCTTGTTCTCCTACAAATAAACATTTTCTCACAATGAGGGTTTAAAGGTGTGGTTTACGCATTCGTTCAGTGTTTTCTAGTGTAAGTCAGTCACTTGAGTCATTAGGATTAGGGGTGAGATGCAGAAGTTAGTTGGTGGGATTAAAACAGCAGGATTATTCATTATTATTATTGATATGCACACACCTCGCTTCTGATTGGCTAACAGAACGCGTTTAGCCATGTTGCAAAGTTACGATCACCAAGACACACTCCTCTCTCTCTCTCTCTCTCTCTCTCTCTCTCTCTCTCTCTCTCTCTCTCTCTCTCTCTCCTTGCTGCAAAACAAAAGCCTTCCTGTGGGCGAGCGCGGGCCAGGGTGGGCGAGGCCATGAATGCATATTTAGTGTGACATAGATCTGTGTGGATTTTCAAATCCAAGCTTTTCACTGTCTGTTTTCGATCAGAAGCTAATGCTTCTGGTGTAGGCAGGTAGGTGTAGACGACCGTTTCGACCAATTATAATCTGAAATGGTCATAAAAAATGTTTTTTCAGTCAACCACACCTTTAATGGCTCGTCTCACATTTTTCACATCGTAACTTCTAAACGCAGATGGTAAGGGGATTTGTTTTTCCAGAAGGAAGGTCGACATTACGGTTGGATGGGCGAGATCGTGTAAAAGCAGGCACATTTTAGTTTTATGGCTAACTTCTGGTAGCGTTGCAGCCCAGATAGAAACGTGTGAACGTTTGTGTTAACAGATGATCAGTTCACTGGTAATGAGTGAAGAATCTGCTGCTGTTGTTTCTAAAAACTCTTCACAAACTACAGTTTATTTTCTCTTAACAAATCTAAAACGAATGCATTAAAACTGTGGGAGGGTTGATTCCGCTAGCGCTCGTTTGATGATTTTTAGAGGTGCTGAAAAAAATCGATTCAAGTCTGAATCAGGATTCTTATTTATAAAGATTCAGAATCGATTCACAAAGGTTCAGAATCGATCCCAGGAACTCAAATGTTTGGCATGTTACAGGTTTGAGATGCACATTTGTCTGTTTTTTTTATCTTTGTTAGGAGAGTCAGTACTCCGTTTACTTTTGTGGTCCCGTAAATTGAGATGATTTATTTTTTATTCTGCTGATAAGAGGGAACTAGAATGTAATTTTTTCCATACCCAGAAATTTGAGATATTCTCATGTATTTTCTAAGTTGACAAGTGAGTACTCAGGATTACTCGTGTTCATTTGAAGTTATTGATAAATGAGAGAACACATTTTCCTTTGTAAGAAATCTGAGGCACTCAAACGTTAAACTTGTTTCCACAGATACTTAAACAGTATTTGACCGTATTACTTTCAAAGCTACTGTTAGGTAACTACAGATTTGTAATATTTTACAAGGTAAGCAAAAATAAACGTTGCATTCTGGTCAAAAGATTCCTTCTGTTTACAGTTTTAGAATCACTTTATTTCACCTTGTAAATTAGCTTTTTTTTAGTATGACCAGTTTAAAGTAAAATAAAGAATTTCCTATAGCTTTAACTAACTTGCACAACAAAGTAGTTAATCCTGGAACTGACACTCTTTGTTAACATTGATTGTGAATCGATTTAAATCGAGAATCGATTCTGAATCGAATCGGCACCCCGAGAATCGGAATCGAATCAAATCGTGAGTTGCTCTGAGATTCACATTCCCAATGATTTTCTTCTCCTCAGGGCAGACAACTGGCTCGTCGACACCGGATCAGAACCATCCCGGCACAACGGCCTATCCTCTTTTGGAAAGGTAAGAAGTTCTCGCAGTCTTTAGTTATTAATACTATAAAAAAGACAGAGTGGTTGCAGGTGGGGTTAGGGTTACCCTAACCTTAACCTTTTCATTGTCTCATGAGTCCTAATCAGAGGAATGATTACCGTGAATGTGTTACTAGGGAATGCTGCGGTAGAGATTATTTCAGTAAACATTAAAAACACAGAAAAGCAGTTTAGTAACAGAGGATGAGGCTGCTGGTGAGAGTTTGATGGAGTAAAGGTTCTCACGAATATGCAACAGAAATCTGCTAAATGTACGTTTTTATTTTATTTTATTTTAAATGGGAAACATTTGACAAATTCAGTGAAATAATCCAAAAATTCTTTGGTAGTTTGTTGTCTTCTTTATTATTTTTTTATTCATATAAAGTGTCAAAGTGAAGACACGTTACATAAAAATAAGTCTACATCATGGTTCTGATGCATCTATCATCAGTTTTCTAGATTTGCAGTTGATCCAAGATGAACTTTCCAGTAAGACGCTGTTAAAACCAGATAGATAGATTAAGATTAAACGACCAGACAGACAGGGAGTGACTCCATGCAATCTGCTGGGTTTTCATATTTTTAGTATTTTGTTTGCGACAGCAACTCATCGGTGAGATGAACCGTCTGGGGGTGATGATCGATCTGGCTCACGCGCCTCTAAGTGTGATGAACCAGGTGCTGGACTGGTCCAAAGCTCCAGTAATCTTCAGCCACTCCTCCGCCTACAGCGTCTGTCCTCACAGGAGGAACGTCCCAGACGAGGTCCTGGCCAGAGTGGTGAGTCGGATTCAGGAGACAAAGATTATCATCTAATCTGTGTTCACTGCACTGGAGTGAGGTCCAGGTGGCCTGACTGTAATGAAGTTTCTCCTGGAAGTGTGGAGCTTCTGTTCTCAGAGATAAAAAACTCATAAAAACCAGTGATGATGATCACCAAGCCGGGAGCAGGAGGCGTATTTCACACAGCTTTATGAGATAATAAAGAGATAAACGAAGGTGATCCGCTCTGTAAAAGATTCACAATCAGGGCTTTAGAACGCCCGGATGTGATCCGGATCACGTTATTCCTCATTCTCCAGAGTTTCCTGTAGAAAAAAAGCACAAAAAAAAGGACTAATCTTCCATCGTCCACATATCTTTGTCTCTGTCTGCCTCTCCAGAATCAAACTGGAGGAATAGTGATGGTGAACTTCTACAACGACTATGTGACCTGCAGTAAAACAGCTAAACTCTCAGATGTTGCAGGTGAATTAATAAATGTTTACAACATTTCTCTTCCTTTATAAAACAATAAAAAAAACTCAAGACTCCTTATGTTTACTGCTGCCGTTGCAGATCACTTTGACCACATCAAGAAGGTGGGAGGAGCAGGAGTTATTGGCTTTGGAGGAGATTATGACGGAGTTTCCAGGTATGAGCTGAAACTGACTTTAATGTTAGAAGAGTTGAAGACCAAGGTAAAAGTGATGTGTGACTACACATATCCCGCCCTGGCCCAAAGATTAACTCACAGGTGTGAGCCATTCTTTTAGACTTCCTGAGGGTTTGGAGGATGTGTCCAAAGTTCCCAGTCTGGTGGCTGAACTTCTGAGGAGAGGATGGACGGATGAGGAAGTGAAAGCTGCCCTCGGACAGAACCTTCTCCGGGTCATGAAGGAGGTCGAGAGGGTGAGGCATTAACATGGAGGGGAGGGGGGTTAGTGCAGTGAAATAATGTGAAATGAGGATAAAACCTGTAAAATCAGGCAGATTTAGTGTCCACTAAGGTTGGCTGATTTAATTTTCTGGTTTTTGTGCAAAATTTTACAAAGTTTTATTTAGAAAGGATGTGAAAGTTTCTAAGAGTTGCACGAGGTGATGCATACAACATCCATGTTTGTTGTTATTGTTCAGTTTGAGTGTACCAAGCTGAATCAGAACCCGAAAGAATTAAAACACAGATTGTGTGTGTTGTTTATCTGCCTGAAAACATCCATGTCAGAGCAGTCTGGCTTCATCTGGGGCGACGGTGCCACAGGAGTTAAGAGCTCGCACCGTAATCAGAAGGTTGCAGGTTCGAGCCCCGCTCAGTCTGTTGCTGTCGTTGTGTCCTTGGGCAAGACACTTAACCCACCTTGCCTGCTGGTGGTGGTCGGAGGGACCGGTGGCACCAGTGCTCGGCAGCCTCGCCTCTGTCAGTACGCCCCAGGGCAGCTGTGGCTACATCGTAGCTCATCCCCACCAGTGTATGAATGTGTGTGTGAATGGGTGAATGACTGTGTTGTAAAGCGCCTTGAGGGGTTCCAGGACTCTAGAAGGCGCTATATCAAATACAGGCCATTTACCATTTCATTTCTGAACCGGATGAGCCACATTTTTATCTCAACTAACAAAAAAAGTCAAATCAGAAAGTAATGATCGACTTTTTTCCTAAAAGTGTGTGTGTGTATGTGTGTGTGTGTGTGTGTGATCCGCTGTGAGGACATATTTTGACTTATAACCTGTAACTTGGGAACATTTGGCAGGTCCTCACAGTGAAAATACCCCTGAAACCTGGTTTTAAGGGTTTGGTGTGAATTAACTTTCCTGTAAGGTTAGCGTCAGGTGTTCTGGTTACGTTTGTGAGATAGCGGGGTTTGCCAATAAATCAAACATTTATCCTTCTCAAGGTGAACTCCTCAATATTCCTTGATGTTGATTTTAGGCCACATCACCCAGCCCCAAGAGAGTTCTCAATGGAATCCCCTTGCCGCCTGACGGCTCTGCAGAGCTTGGTGTGCACGCCGGCTTGATCCGGTCCAATCTGGTTTCTGGCTTTATGGGAAGTGCTTATGCAGGTGGTTGTTCTGATTTTAGATGTGCTGTGTGAGGTGCAATGAGACAGTTGTGCCTCGGTGGGTGCATGCGTACAGTTGGGTGAAAAACCAAACAGTGCCTTGAGGGTTTGGTCATGTGCCGTGCAGAGTACTAGAGAGAAGAAACGGGATAGGGTCTGGTTCATGGGCCAGAGGTCTGCAGTTAGGGCAAGGGTCCAACACGTCAGCATTGAATCCAACTAAAATCAGAAATAGAAGACATCCTCTGAGGCCCAGCAAGGGTTGGATCGTGATTGTGGGACAGCAGTAGCTCAGGAGGTAGAGCAGCAGAAAATTCCAGGTTCGATCTCGGCTCCCGCCAGCCAATTCTGCCGCTGTGTCCTTGGGCAAGGCACTTAACCCAACCAGCCTGCTGGTGGTGGTCAGAGGGACCTGTGGTGCCTGCCTTGCCTCTGCCAGTGTGCCCCAGGGCAGCTGTGGTTACAATGTAGCTCCTCATCAGCAGGGTGTGAATGGATGAATGATACTGTAAAGCACTTTGGAGTCCTCGGACTCAGAAAGGCGCTACACACGTGCAGGTGACTGATCCTCTGTGGGATGCAGGTGCTTTCGTAGTAATAGGGTATGGGTTAGGCAGAGTGGAGTCTCTAAAAAGAAGGGTCCTCAAAATTATAGCAGGACAAACATGTTTCTCTCTCCCAGGTCCGTGACAGCCTGAACAGCTCGATGCCAGATGATGTTCCCATTCCCTACAAGGAGGTGGAGAACCCGTGCAGGACGAGCTTCGGTTACCAAAACGCCGGAAACGAGTTTTCACTCAGCCGAGCGGCTCTTCTGCTGATTCTGATCCTCCAGGCTGGTGTCACATTTAACACTTAAATCTGTCTAAATTAATCCACATGTAATCATAAACACTATTGTCTGGCAAATTTAAAGTTTGGTCAGAAACACAAAAACTAGTAAAATGAGTAAATGACAACAGAGGTTTGTACGTCAGTTTATTAAAAGTCAAGGTTTTCTTCTGCTGAGGAAGGCTGCAGCTGTTGCATTCAAATAAACATCTGCATTCAAGTAAACAGCGCCATCTGGTGTTCAGTAAAGAGAACCGTGCTGTTAAACGTCCACACCAGGGTTAATTTGAAACAGTAGCGGTTTTAGGCACGGGCAGACAGGGCAGTTACCCGGGGCGGCATTTTTTCATGACACAAAAGGGGCGCACAAGCGCTGAGTAAAAAAAAAAAAAAAAAAAAGGAAATCTGCGCCGCACCGAGGTTTTCTATTATCTGTCATATGACAGTGTCTGGATTGGAAACAGCAAGTTGGCGCCCCCTGCAGCTGCAGGCGCTCCTGCTGACTGAGAACGTTCACGTGCACCGTGTGTCTATGAAGAACAGGAAGGGGAGGGGTGCGGCGGGGGAATTCACCTCTGCGTCTTTCCCAGATGAAATGAGCGTGCAGGGGCTGAATCAACTGTATTAACATGGCTAAAGTCAGTCACATCTTAACGTTCTTCCATTTTTCATTCATAATATCATAAACACAGGCCTATCATTCTTTCAGGTTTCTCTGAATTGTGTGAAATGGCCGAATAAAAAAAGGAAAAACAAAACGATTTTGTGGTCACCCCCCCGTCAAGGTCAAATTTTTTAGTCCTGACTAAAGGAAACTTACTGAGTCAGGAGCCAAACAGAAGAGATGAACATAAAAAGGCTAAAACCACCAGTTGCCCCATTCAGGGGGAAAAAAAAGAAAAAAGAGGAGAAAGATAAAGGTATGTAGCTCTCATGATGCATGTTTTCAATTTTTTGAACCAGTTAACTGGGATTTTAACGGTTAAATGTGGTCAACTAATTGCTAACAGAGCTAATAGGGCTGAAATATTGAAACGAATATTCAAATGGTTCGAAAAAAGTCCTTGAATCGTTTTTTACTGATTCAAACTAGGATTTGTTAAATGCTCACTGCAGCCTGTGGCCTGCCTGAACAACAACAAACACATGTTGATCATGTTCACATAATAATAAATAAAACAACTCTACAAGCAGAAGAAAACTCCCCAGTCACCACTAACTCTCCTGTTTATTTATTGCAGATGGCTGCACTGATTATTTTTTTACATGATTTGTTCTGTAAAAGTTGGCCTTTTTGGTTGTCTACAGTTTTTTATGTCAGTTTAAATTACAATTTCAGAGGCAATTCTAAAATATTATGGATCATGAGATCTATTGGAGATCTACCCCAACTTTTGGACTGCTCTGCCAGTCTCTGTGGCTCCAGCTGAGAGGAGCTTTTCAAAACTTGATCAAGTCATACCTGAGGTCACCTATGTTTCAGGGGCGGCTCACTAACCTGGCTCTGATTAGTATCAATCACTCAGTAGGGGAGCAGATTTCATATGATGACATTATTGATGACGTTGCATCAAGGTTAGGTTTTAATTTTAGTTTGTGTTTTCTGTTCTAAGTGCAATGCTGTAGTGATTATCTTTAGTTATGTGTGAAATATTTTTGCTATTTAGAATATTTATTATGTATTATGTTCATATATTCTTAATATTTAGTTATTGTTTTTGTATATTTGATTCTATATATTTTGATACAGTATATAATGTATATTGCTTTACATTCTGACAACTTCATAGTAATTAATGTAAATATGTGCAACTTAGAAAAATGAATGTTCAATAGTCGTTCTAATAAAACATGCCTGTTTGTAGAAAACATGCGTGTGTTCATGCAGGTGGGGTGGTGTGGTGGTGGTGGTGGGGGGGCGGTTGGGGGTGGGGGGCGCTCAAAGGGGGCCTCGCCCGGGGAGTAATTCGATGTAGAACCGCCACTGATTTGAAACGTGTCTCAGAAACATTTGGACTAAACGTTAAGAACACAAGACTTTACAAAAAAAAATCAGAAGTTCGTTACAAAATAATGAAATGTACTTACATTTACACACTGACCGGTAACGTTGTAAACATCAACGGAAGTGGAGGGCTTAAATGTGTACAAAACAGAATTTAAGAGATCTGCGCTTCATTTTGTTAATAATAAATACATCTGAGCTGTAGACTCTGAAAGTCCTGCTTGTTTTAATGTTTCTGTGGTTTGACCCTCCTGTCGCACAGGGATGAAAACATCTGGTTTAGCTGCTCTATCACGAACTGGACGGAAAACTAAATAATTTAGGTAAAGCCTGCTAGATTCATCAGTGACCAGTAGGTCGTCTGTGGGCTTCATAGGACCTTCCAGGGCTCCTCAGCACCAAGACGCTGCTCTGAGTCTCAGTGCATGTTTCTGCAGCTGCACATCTGAGACCTTACCTGGTGAAACTTGTCTGCTCTTTCCAGGAAGTGACTCCACATATTTTTATGTTGGATTAATGAAACGTACAGAAAACGTTGGACAACAAAACTCCAGAGAGGAAGTTTCAGTATTTTTATAGAACAAGGAGACGTGTAGAAGATCAGCAGAGCCGCTGCTCTAAGGTGCACGGAGTCACAGCTGAGGTCTGCTCTTCATCAGGGCAGGCTGAGGTAGTCTGACGGTACTGGTCCCAAATCTACAACACAACCTCCCTCGGTGTCTCCGTCCCCTGAGCGTCTCCGTTCGACTGCAGAGGAGGAACAACCGGAGCAGCGATCCTGTACGGCAAACTGTCTTTGCTCAACATCTTCCTGGTGGCAGAAACCAGGCGGGAATAATTATCGGGGTTGTACTCGGAAGAGGGGGGCCGGGCACGCAGCAGAGGCAGGTGGTCTCTGTTGGGTCGGGACAGGAAGAGAGGCGGACGCCGCTGGCTCTCGCCCTCCTTCAGAGAATCAGGGAGGGACTTGTGTTTGCTCTCAGGTAGGAGCATTATGCAAAGGACCGAGAGGACGGCGAAGGAGGCGAAGATGACGTGGTGCAGGAAATAGCCGCCATTGTTCTGGAGCTCCATCAGGGAGGAGGCAGCCATGCCCACACAACCTGCTGCCATCACCAGACCGAAACAGCCACCTCTGACACAAACAGATGATATGAAATACAGCAACTAAAAACTCATTCTCGTTCAGAAACAGAGTAAAGAGACTCACCGAACCACCGTGGGCATCACCTCACAGGAGAAGAAGGCGCTGAGCATAGCAAGAGCCTGAGAGAACAGCAACCCCACCACAGAGAGCACCAGCACCAGACCGCCTTGGAGGTCTGACAGGAGAAATCAAGTTCAGTAAACCAGAGACTCACACGTTGGTGGAGACACTAAACAAGAAGAACTATCCATGACTGTGTTCAGTTTTATTATCTGAAAGTTCAAACATGAGGAGGAAATGTAGGTACACTGTGTGAGGGCCAGCAGCAGCAACGATGACAGCCCCGTGATGATGGCAGACAGCAGAAGCATTCCTCGCCGACCAAAGTGATTGACAGACAGACAGATGAAGATGCAGGCCAGAGCTCCCGTTATCACTCGGAGGAAGTAGGTGAAGTAGAAGTTGGAGGAGTGGATGTGCAGGTTCCTGGTGAAACAGTACTGGATTCCTGTTCCGATGAAGCTGCAGAGGAGCAAAAAGTGGCATCCACACACAAACTATCGCAGGTTGTTGCCTTCTAAAATGTTACATTTATGTTTCCTTTACCAGAAATGGAGTTGATGAAGGAGAGAAACTCACAGTGTGAAGCTAAGAATGAGACAGTTTTTCCAGATGACACGAGTCTGCCGCAGCTCCAGGACAGAGTAAAACCTCGGCTGGCGCTCCTCTCCATTTAACAAATCGATCTCTTCAAAATAAAATACAAATATCACCACTTTGAGGAAGTATAATTAAAGCGAATCATCCATTATGACAAATTAAAGACATCTGCTATCAGCTGGTTGAGAGAAGCTCAAGAGCCAGGGATGTCCAACAAGAGGAGCCACTGCCCCCTGTTGGCCAAAACGGGTTTTCTCATATTTTTATGTTGGATGGTTTGTTGTGATGTAAACTGAGGTTTGTGAATAGTTGGATTGACAAATTAAAACTTTTACAAACATTTTGAATCTTTTAATTTGCTTTCAGGTGTGTTGTTGGAGAAATAATCTGTACAGAACCTAAATGCTACTTTCTGAGACCACGGTGCAGGAGTTCAGGTTTGGGTCTTTTACTGCTAGAAACACGTTTTAAACGGTTTTTATACACATACATGAATTATTTAGGCTTTTATAGTTTTTTTGTGTGAAAATGTTTTTTTTTTGGCTAAATCAAGTGACATCAGCTGAGGGAGTCCTGTTAGCTTAATCCAGAGAAAAATATGGATTCTGATGGCGGCTCTGACGCAGAGGAAACTTTAAATGTTTATAAATCTACTTATGATGGACCAGAATCATAAAGTTATGAGTTTGCTGCACGTAACATAGCTTAGCGCTTAGAGAGACGCCTGTCCTCCGGTTCTGGAGCTCATGCAGCTCCTGTGAGCTGGATCCGACCCAGACACCAGTGAGCCAGTCGAGCTGGTAGTTTTAAAAGCTGCACATCATCCTCTCCTGGTGGTCTAGACGGCAGTTCTGATCTGGTTCTGACCCAGAAACCAGCTCCACTGGCCTGCTGAGCTGCGCGTCTCTTCTGGTGGTTGGTTCTGATGGTGATCTGAGCTCCAGAAATCCGAATTTAATTTTTTAAACCCCGCTACAGGTCTCTGGAGCCCAGCGCGGACTTCCCTGACCCGGTACCGACTGATGAGGGCTACAGACGTCCGTCTTTTCAGCTGCACAAAATGCCCTCAGGCATGGAGATAGAGGCGTTGTTTCTCCTGTCTGGAAACCCGTGGACTCGATGTCTGGACAGGCTGGAGTTGGTACAGCCTTCACAGACTATAGTTTATCAACATGAACACAATCCAAAACTAGAAAACACCTACCTAACATCTACCCTAAAACTAGCCACTCTCCACACTGAGCTGAGGCAGCGTCTAGCTTGACTCCCTTACGTTACGTCAGACATTCAGATTTAGAAAAAAAGAGCGTTTTAGAAGCTTTGCTGAGAAAGGTCCCTTTTTACTAGAAAAACTCTGCTGCTGTGTATTTTAAAACAAAATATCCACAATAAGCATTTCTAAAAGTATTTTTGGACAGCGTTTTATATGAATTAGAAAATAAATTAACCTGCAATTTGCTCATTAAACCAAATGAGTGAAGGACCAATTTCAATACCTAGATGTTCAAATAAAAAAATGTGTGATTTTGTGGAAATACATGTTTTTACCTGACAGCAGCATTTCCCCAGGGTACATCTCATCCTGCAGGCAAACGGCATTCCTGGTGGCAAATTCCTGGAGGCTGCTCTTTGCCTGAGGAAGCTGGTCTGTGGCCAGCAGCCAACGAGGAGACTCAGGAAACATGGATGCAAAGCTGAGGAAAGCATATGAGCGAGATTTGAACAAAATGAGCTTTTTTGTGTTCAAGGAGAAAAGGGGGAATTAATCAAATGCAAAAATATGCAGGGTTTTGTTTTTTGCTGCAAAACTGATTTCAATAAACATTTTTGGACAAATCTTCACACTTTTACAAAGGCTTTCAGATTTTTTTACTTACTGGGATTCTTTGCAACTTTTTCATATTTTTAAATCTTTTTCTTGAGCCAGTATATACTAAAATGACCCTTTACAGGGTTAATGAAATGTCACTCAGACCCCTACCGCCCTCTGTGGCCAGAATACCGCATTTGCAACTTTAGAGTGCCGGGCCGGTCTGCTGGACTTGGTAAAAAATGGAGCTGACATACCTGGCGCTGCTGTCTGCTTCCAGCACGTTTCCTACATGTTTTAGATCAATAACACAGCTGATTTGTTTAATTTAGTGATGAATCGCTCCTCTAAACACTAATGAAGGCTGAGGAGACATTTCAGCTTTCAGATGAAGGTGTTAAAAAGACGAACACACAGGAGATAAGTTTTGCTTTCGGTTCTACTAAACAGACACTAAAGGGCGCTAAAAGCAAGCAAAAACTGCCAGGTGTCCCTTTAAAGTAGATTAATGAGTTTCTCGTGTAAATGAAGGAATATGGATGTTTTACAGCTGTTTGTTGTTCTTCTGAAGTTGGACTTGTGAAGGTTTCAGTCACTACCTGGCTGTCACTATGAAGTTTTTCAAAAGGAAGTCCCAAAGAAATATTAGTCAACACTTTTTTTCCAGCAGGATTTAGTTGAGTTCATAATAAAAAGTCTGGGGCTGACGCACCGAGCGCCCCACATAATAAAATCACGTGTAGGATGTCTGAACTGCCTCGACTGACTCACCACCAGTAGGAAAGCAGCAGGAGCAGAGGCACAGTGGCCAGAGCCTGGAGAACGGGCCAGTCACGGCTCAGAGCAGCAATGCCTGGCAACAGCAGCTCTGCAGACACGGCAAAGAAGCCCCCGACCATGGTGACCATGAGGCGATGGGGAGGGTCACTCAGCTCCAGCCCTGAGAAAGAAAAGACAAACATCATCAATAAACAAAGTCTTGGTAACACTTCACAATAAGGGTCCCTTTATTAATGTTACTTAATGCATTATTAAGCATTAATAAACTATTAAATACTGCTTAACCATATTATATAATGCATTACTAAGCAGACACCCCCTCAGTCCTTTGTCCAAACCTTAAGGACGCTTAATAGTTAATAACAAAGCTTTGTTTATTAATGTCTAATAATGCACTAAGTAACATTAATAATGGGACTTAATGTAAAATGTTAACAAACTTTTGTAAACTTACAAAAGTCACCATCAGTAAGCTAAATAAAGACACTAAAGTTATCTGAACCTTTGGAGTCTGTCTAACCGCTCATTTCTGGTGACCTTTAACCTCCTTCAGCTCTGATTCTCTAAACACCTCCTTCCTCTGTGTGTGTGTGAGTGTGCGTGCGTGCGTGTGTGTGCATGCTTCCTGCCTAAGTTCTGCCCTCCTGTCCTGTTATTGTTTTCTGCTCTTTGTGAAGCAGCGAGAACCCCCCCCCCCCCCCCCCCCCCTCCAGGCCCGACTCCACCCAGCCAAACATCTGTCTGAGTGATGAAAATTGTTGAAGAACCGAACTGGTACCAGCGTTCACCACCTGGGCGTATCTTCCCTCTCAGGAATGTTCTTGTTCACCATTTCACACACTGATGGGTTTGATAACAAACCAGAACATTCTGGATGAAAACATCTGTAGGAGCAAAGCTGATGGTAACTTCTGGTCAGAAATCCTCAGAAGCTAAAATAAAAGTCTTGCAGGAGTCTAAAACTGCTCGATTCAGATGAAATAAAATGAACAGACGACTCATGAATACATTTGTCTATATCATATTTATGTTTTTAAAGTCACTATTATGACCCTGAGGGAAATAGCTTAAAAATGCAGCACCACCCTAATGAGATTAACTGTCCTCTGGTCTCGAGGGCGGATAAAATCAAATGCAAGTAACTGATTTATTCTATTTGTGGTGACTGAGTGAGTCGAATCTCACAGAAGTAATCTGTTATAAAGTCGTCTGAAAAACGAGGTCAAGAGAAGAGATGGAGTAAACTACAGATCGTTTCCAGATGTGATCTGGAGACCTTTCTGCTTTATTAAACACCGACATGCTGGTATAATGGTGATGTAGATTGGTGTGAGTCACCAAGGCATACACTTTAAACCAATCCAGGTCGAGTTCGGGAATCTCAGCAGTCAGCACTAACGGGATGGAGTGTTATTTGAACCGATTGTGTTTTCTGATGATAAGGACTTGTAATTTGCTTCTGTGTGAACTCTTATCTGCTACTGATGAGATGGTTCAGCACAGAGCATTCAATGTGAAGAGGTTGGACTCCAGGGCTGTGATTCATCACTTGCACATCCAGAGCATCAGTCTTTGTGCAACAGTGAAGTCATCCTCGCAGAAGTACGTGAGACTCATACTGAGATTATTGTGGGACTTTCCCCCAAATGAAGCAGCGGCTTCTGTTAGATATACAGCGAAGACCACGAATTACTCATCACGGCCTCTCAGAGCTTGTCGTATTTTATTAATTGAGCTGTAGCTCAAGGTGAGCTCAATTGAGCTGAGCTGTTTTATTTTTTTTTATTTAACCCAATAAATGATCAAATCTCAAGGCACGGGGACAATAAAGTGCACTCTGTTCTAAAGGGTTGACTACAGAACACTCACTAATAATGTACGAGGACACGAAGACGCCGGCGAGCATGGCGCCCTGACAGAGACGCAGCAGCAGGAACATCACGGCGCTGCTGGACAGACACACGGCCACGCCAAACAGACTGGACAGACTGACGGAGAGGAGGAAACCTCGCCGGCGGCCCAACCTGAGGAGGAAAAGTCACGATGACGTCAGAAACCAGCCCAATGAGAAAGACTCTGAATGTAACTTAGCAACAACATGGAGACTTTTGGGATTATTACTCACCAGTCACACAACGTCCCCAAAAATATATATCCCACAATCCATCCTGTCATGAAGCAGACATGCTGCAGGGGGATCTTCCAGTAATCGCTGCAGACCAGATTCCACTGGAGAGGAAGAGAACAGGTCAACTTACATCCCCCCAAAGTGAAACAGATATGGAAAAACAGGCCAGAGGGCAACGCTGCCGAGAGTAGCTAAAGGTTTATCAGAGAGGAAGTGAAGCTGCTGGATGACATTCCACCCAGAAACCTGAGAGACTAGAACTAGGACCCGTTTTGTCCTGCATCTGCAGCCTGGGTCCAGTTTAGTTTTAAATTAAGGTCAAAATGTGAGATTATGTCTCACACGCACTAGGGATGCAACGATACCACTTTTTTCCAAACCGATACGATCCCGATACTTGGATCTGAGTACTCGCCAATACCGATTACCGATACAGATACTTCTACCACACAAAAAATGCAAAGAATTGGAATACAGGTTTTATTTTCTTCTGTTTTCAATAGGAAAAGAGTGTGAGGTAGATAAAAAGTAATATAAGTGATCACAAAACTAAAATATTAGGTGAACAGAAATGATAAGTTACAGTGAAGTCACTTTCAAGCAACTGCATTGGTATCAGTTACTGGTATCTGTTAACTTTTACCGATACCGATACTGGTATCAGTATCTGTAATGGCACCGATACCAGTATCATATCGGTGCATCCCTAACACGCACCTGGAGAAGACTAGAAATGCTATGAGGGGATCAACTAATAATTTCAATACTGTGCAGTAGTCCATTTGCATTGTTTTTTTTTGATGGAATTTTTTTTAAAACAGATTTTTTTTTTGTAATTTTGTGTCACCGTGAACTTATTTTCTGTGTTTTTATTGAGTTTGATGCAGTGCAGCGGGGCAGGGAGAGGTTTGGTTTTGCGTCTTTTGTAAAACTTAACTGTTGGTGAGAAATAACTGGGTTAAAAAAGGAACCCCAAATCTTTAATCTATCCTGAAAAATTTCATACCTTCACGGTTTCCAAAATGTCCCACTAAATGATGTCATAATCCCCTAACTCAGCTTAGTTCATCCACAAGAAAAAGCTGAGTTTAAACTATTCATGGAGCCAATCAATCACACTTGGTCCCAATAAAACTAATATCAACTGAATTCAATCAGATTCGAGTCCTTTAAAGGGATTGTGTGTATTTTCCCTGGCGATAGGGGCAGTACATACCTAAATCATTGTAAGCAAGCAGTATTTTTGTGTTGGAGTACAGTGTTTCCCCTAGGAATTTTTCCAGCTGTGGCGTTGGGGGGGGGGGGGGGGGGGGGTTATGACACATCTGTAACAAAGTAAAATGTTCTATAGTGCAGAGAGGAGACAACCCATAGAAGCACTGCTTTGATCTCATTTTAGAGATAAATAGAACAGGTCAGATGCACCTAATAAATAAAATGACTAACAAACTCAGGAATCTGTTTCTTTGCTTCACTGTTCTGGTGCTGAAAATATCACTAATGCGGGTCAAAGGAGATTCACGGATGAATGCACCTCTTATTTATTATTTGGAGACTACATTTACTGCAGCTGGCAGAGGCAGAGATTTTTTCTATTGATACACGAATTTACAGAATCATTTTAAATTTTAATAGGGGAAGACTGCAGGAGGGAGTGGTAAAATACAGGGGGTCCCCAGTAAAAACAAGAAACTTTACGAGTCTGATGAAACCTTCTGGTTTTCCATCAGGCAGTCACGGGGCAGCTCCAATGACCCAGTGGCTGTGCTGAGTCAATATTATCGAGCTCAGTCCAGCTCGGCAGAGGGTGAACGAGCCGAGGCGACGTCGTGCTCTGCTTAAGAAGAGGTGTTATTTTCCCGCTTCAGAGAAGCGTCCAACGTGTTTTTACGCTTTCTCCGAGACATGTCACGTCGCTAAGTTGTTAGCGCTGCGCGCTAACACGTCAATAGTGCAGCGTAGCCTGCTGGAGGTTTTAAGGGTTCAGATGAAAACACCCGACCTCTCAGGCTGCTCACACATCGATCTTAAGTTGTCGCTGTTGCGCTCACGCCGTAATACAGTATTAGATGCGGTTAAAGTCAGACACGAAAAAATAAATACATTTTACATGAATAAGTGATGCTTAGCCAGGTGGGGGGAGGAGAACCTGGCCTAATAAGCACCAGAGGAAACCCTGTCAAGATCGTCAACACTCATTTATCTTAATGCTATTGAAACATGTAAACCAAAAAGCATTATATCCACTGCTACCTTTCTAATTTTAAACTCAGCAACTCATGCTGTAACTTCACCTTGCCCTGCCTGCTCCTCCTTGCTGCCCGCCGGCTGTGATCACAAGCGACAACATAGTAGTTCCCGCTGCTTCTTCGGGAAATTAGCGGGATTTCAGCCGTGGCGGGCCGCCACGGCTACGCCTATGTAAAGGAAACCCTGGAGTAACACCTTACCAACGGATGGCCATTAGGGTCAAAAATCCCTGGAAGCACAACCATAAGCACATCAGATTCCCTTTCATCACTGCCGACAAACAAAGAGGTAAATGTATAAATCAACATTTACTAATGGTGAAAGTTTTGTAACCGTTTGTCGCAAATCAGTAAATGTATTTTGTTCTCACGGGCTCCCGTAGAAGGAAACATGGCGTCGCCCAAAGACTTACACCAGCTCCCATGTGTTTCTGACCCGATTTCTATGGTTAAATGTTACAAAGCCGCCAAAATTTCCAACAACATTTTGATGGATATCTCCAGAGATTAAGGGTAAAAACTACACATTGCTAGCCTAGTGAACTAGACCAAATTCTTGCTTTGCAAAGAATGGTCTAGGCAAGCTCCATTGGAACCTCAGCAGCTCCTACCAGGACTCTGGCTAGCCAATCACAGCTCTCTAGAGGGGTTTCAAACACATAAAGAGCTGTGATTGGTCCATCATGGTGGGCCAATCATAGTGCTCTATCTGCTTAGTGAACAAATCACAGAGCTTTATCCGCTTTGTGGGCCAATCAGGGCCCTCTATGTGCCTGGTGGGTGGGATGATGCAACAGAGTGAAACAAGAGTATGTCACATTCATTGTCCAGTGGAATGCGGAGATCATTTGAAAGACAACGGTAGAACCCGCCCCACAACCAAGAGCCGTCAGTGGAGCATGGCCAGACTAAATAATACATTTATTTAGTCTGGCTTGCCAGGCTAACACATTGCCTCTTTAAACTTAGTTCAGTTACAAAAAAAAAAAAGGGGGGTGCTGCCATTTCTCCTCAAAACACTTCAAACAACATTCTGGTAAAGATGTAATTAAATGACAGAATAGTAGATTTTTGCTAATCTTTTAAGTACTTTTCTGCAAAAAATTACTTAAGTAAAAAGCACTGGTTCCATTACAGATCCCAGCTTCAAGCAGAATGCTCTGCAGATGAAGCTGAAAGCATTTCTGTGTTACTGTGTCCAATAATCATTAGATGGTTTCCTCAAAAATTGGATTTGACACAATATACGTCTGCAGCTTTTTTCTGGGTTTTGTGCAGGGAGCCTCCTCCTCACTCCCTTAATAAAACCCCAGATCACTGATAAAAGTAGTTTCTTCTTAAGAACCTCCTGTGAGCTGCTGCTCTTATTCTTTCAATTCAACCAGTGTTCCTTTTCTCCAGGATAAATTACTGAGGAAGCTCCATCCACTATAAACCAACACGTGCACTTTTCCATCTGTTATGTTTTCAACACCTTCACCTGTACCACGTCTCTGTAACAACAGCTGAAGAAGCTTCTGCAGAACGAATGCAAAAGGCAAACAGAAACAACTATGGGCAAAGCTCGTCGTCGTCGTCTTCCTCCGCTTATCCGGGTCGCGGGGGCAGCATCCCAACTAGGGAGCTCTAGACCGTCCTCTCCCCGGCCACCTCCACCAGTTCCTCCGGCAGGACCCCATGGCGTTCCCGGACTAGATTGGAGATGTAACCTCTCCAACGTGTCCTGGGTCGACCCGGGGGCCTCCTGCCGGCAGGACATGCCCGAAACACCTCCCCAGGGAGGTGTCCAGGAGGCATCCTGACCAGATGCCCAAACCACCTCAACTGACTCCTTTCGATCCGGAGGAGCAGCGGTTCTACTCCGAGTCCCTCCCGAATGTCCGAGCTCCTCACCCTATCTCTAAGGCTGAGCCGGGCCACCCTATGGAGGAAACTCATTTCGGCCGCTTGTATCCACGATCTCGTTCTTTCGGTCATTACCCAAAGCTCATGACCATAGGTGAGGACTGGGACGTAGATCGACCGGTAAATCGAGAGCCTGGCTTTCTGGCTCAGCTCCCTCTTCACCACGACAGATCGGCTCAGTGTCCGCAGCACTGCAGACGCCGAACCAATCCGCCTGTCGATCTCCCGATCACTCCTACCCTCACTCGTGAACAAGACCCCGAGATACTTAAAGTCCTCCACTTGAGGTAGGACCTCTCTCCTGACCCGGAGTTGGCAAGCGCTCCTATCCCAGTCGAGTAGGGCTGCAACAAACGATTATTTGGATAATCGATTAATCGGACGGGGTCTCGACACGATTAATCGATTAATCGGATTACATGGGGAAATTTTTAAAAACTGCTAGGGAAACGTTATTTCTCTCCTTCCTTCACTTTATTTAACACAACATTATTAGAAAACAGTTCAATAGCAGAAAAACAACATGCCATCACCTAAATTGTCTTATAAGGTGTATAGACAGAGACCCTAAGCTACATCTATCTGTGACCTAAAATGCTTGGTCCAAGTTAAACAGCTTAAGGGCAATTCTCATCTGTTTTGTTTGATCTCATCTGTTGACATTTATTTTAAATGTAATTAAACATAGGCTGTGAATTAATCAAAATTGATCACCATTTCCAAAAATGACTGAAAAAATACCAAATAAAACAAAAGTAAATGAATGCCATCCTCCTTGCGATGATACCCTGGGCAACTGCCATAAAGTCACATCAAGAAATGCTGCTGATCATTCCAGTGATCCCAAATAGACTCACATTAGGCCACATGAAAGCAACTGAACCCAAAAATATATTAACCAGTATATAACTGCACTCTCACACAACACGCCTGCAGCAACAGTTAGG